TCTCTCTCTCTCTCTCTCTCTCTCTCTCTCTCTCTCTCTCTCTCTCTCTCTCTCTCTCTCTCTCTCTCTCTCTCTCTCTCCATCCAACTCCTCTACCCCCGGCTCCTCCCGCTGCACCTTTCCCACAGTGCTCCCGTTTCACACCGACCCCGACCGTCTCGCGCCGCTTGGCCTGCGCACCCCGCCCACGTCAGCCTGCTGCAGCTGCTCGGTCGTGTGTACCTCCGTCGGCCCGTTCCCCCCAAAATGGCAATGTATTTTCCCGCCTTCCCGCGATGGATTCGCATCCGCAGAAAGCGGCTCACGCCCCTTCTGGAAAGAACCGGCTCACGGGTCGCAAAGCAAAAAAGTGGCAATGTATGTACTTCGCTTCTGGGGCCCGGGGTCGCCCTTTTTCGTTCCCCCTTGCCGGCTACCCGACAGCGGTCCCGCGCGGCGGACGGGTCGCAAAGCCAAAAAGTGGCAATGTATGTACTCCCATTGTCGGGCCCGGGGTCGCCCTTTTTCGCCGCGGCCGCTTCCCGGCACCGGCGCGCCGTCGGTTCCCCCTTGCCCACTGCCCGACAGCGGTCCCGCGCGGCGGGCGCCGGTTTCTGTTGGGCCCCACGCGAGGACCGCTGTTTCCTTTAGTGGTATAGAGAAAAAGATGGGAAAAATAGAGAGCACACTCGACAGAGGAAGCAACTAGGGCCACAGAGCACCAGGCCGACACACATGTCAGACAGCAAGCAGCTGAGAGGTGCACAGCGTTCACAAGCCCAAACAGTTGGACAGTAACACCCTAGGGGTGACGAGTAGGGATATGAGGCAGGGAGCATCTACAAAGTAGTAACAGACTAACTTAAGCAGGGTGCGGGGTGATACATTCTTCCAGAATGGAAGTAATCAGTGCCGCCCACTCGGGTCTCCCAACCATAATGGGGGAAAGTGTCTTGTGTGTGTTGTAACGTGCAAGCATGACTTGCCGGTGGAATAGGAACTGGACTGATGTTCCCTGGAAAAGGAGCCAGAACCGAGACTGGCAAAGAAGAAGAGTAGAAGAGGAAAACAACTCAAGATAGTGATCAATCACTAGTGTCAAATAGAAGAAGAATTTCCATGCCCAGTAGTGAAGATTGTCTTGTGAAGATGACAATGTGCTTGTTTGACCCTGTCCATGAAGATGGGCAATGAGCTCGTTTGAAGCTGTCTTATGAAGATGAAATTCAGTGGCATTTCAATCCAACAGTCTGCATATCTGTACTGAGCCACTGTGCTTGTTTTCATGTGGTGTGCGCCAAATGCTAAATGGATCCAACAGGTTATGGACATTGTGATTCCAGAGCTGGCCGAAATGCTAAATGCTCATAGAGTTACCATTGGATGTGAATGCCGATCTGCGGTGAATGCACACTACGAGGCAGGGTAATGTAACATCCTTGAAAGGATTCAAAAAGCTTGAATACTATTCCCTGTAAATGTTTGTAGAGCCTCAGTTGGCCTTGCCTGGAGATCCACTAGACATTGTATAATGTGATGTATATGCATGAGGTATCCTACTTCGTGTCAAATGCAGGCTCTAAGACATGGTCATCGAATGTACTGGAGGGTTTGTGAAAGTGAGCAGTGACTTGATTTGCTAGCAGCAGAAACTTTACGCGATATGTGGAGTACATGCACACATGCACATGTGCATAGGCATGGACACAAACTCTTGGTTTGTATCTTTTCTAAGGGGCAAAAATCTCGGTTTGGCCAGACGGTGCATTCCACAGTGGCGTGTTTGATAAGGTTGAGGCTTGGGCATTTCCAGTCGTACAATACACCAGCATCCATCAACCTCCTGGTGTGGTCACTGGACAGCTGACGAAGTTCGAGCATATCTGTAGCAATACTAATGACTCTGAGCTGCAAGTGCCTCCTTGAGATGGCGTATGCTTGCTAGGGAGCATCCCCCCAGTTTATTAGAGTAGAGCATGGACTGCCTATGTACGTGGCTGACGGCGTTGAATACCAACTCATTTCCCCTGGCTTACGAGCTCGTTTAACCACATCATTCGCTGAGCACTCGCTCATGTGCATTCAACCACGACTTCCAACCATAGGCGGTATGAGCCCTCCCAGCATCCACAGACTGCAGCCTTGTCCTCCCCAGCTTCTTCTGGAGAACCTGCAACAAATAATGGGGAAGCTACAGTCCTAGTCGAAAGGCAGACTTCTCTAGCAGGCAACATGCATGGTGTTGGAATGTCTGCCTTGGACGATCGCCGAAGCCTACGGCTGCTGTTGCAGAATGCACTGCGCCACACACTGGGGAACAACTACAGCCAATTCCTGTACGAGATCTACAAGGAAGAGAACTGAGTTATTTGACTGAACAGCACACTTCTCACTTTCCGCCCCTTCTCCCCCTGATTCTCCTGTTGCTGATTCTCTGCCGCCTCTGCCACTCCCATCTCCTGCACCTTCACCATTTCTCCTCGTCTACTGGCCCGTCCTTCTCCCTTTTTCCTCCTCTGTCTTTTCCTACTGTCACCATCATCAACACATTCATCGTCAGATCGTCTGTCACAGCCACCCCTACAACATAAATGTTGCTCCCCTCTGCCACCACCTCCCAGACAGCGCCCTCGTCTGTATGTAGAAGATATGAGCACTAAGCCCTCCAGCAGGGGTCAGAGATCTACTTTGCCACATTGCTGCAATGTCAGGGAATGACATCACATTCTCAGTGCACCCTGGCCAGGAACAGTACATCTCAAGTCGGATGTCCACAATGCAGCGATGACTTCACAGTGCTATTGGCCTGCATGTGTGCTAGACACACAGAGCTACCACCTGCACACGACTGGCAGCCATCTGGGAACAAGTCTGCATGATCAGCTCCCGTCCCCTGTGGTAACGGGTCCCACCTCACCTGCTTCACCTGGGCTGACCCAAGATTCCCCACACCCGGCTACCAGCGCTGCCCTTCTTTCCGCAAACCATGGAGAGACACCCTGATGACAACAAATCCCTGCAGCACCAGTCAGGGCCAGTGGAGTCCTTGCAACCAGGAGTGCCTGGTAGAGACTTAAGAGATGGGAACCCTCCTCCCCCTACCCTCCCACCTGTGGAGCATAATGACCTCGGCATGTTACAGCAAGGCCTTTGTGCATACTATGCCACTAATAGATGCCTCCTTGCTTAGAGTCACAGCCCCTATACTGTTTCTGACTTTGCAGACATGGTTTGCTGGATAGAAGCGGAGAATCACAATATCTGCCCACGAGATCACTGTTCTACAGCTCCGACCTGCCCCACGGAATCATACACCTGACGCTAATTTGGATATCCATGTGTGTATCCAACATCGTGCAGGCAACTTCATTGCCATAGTGTTCACAGACCATGCATGGGCTCTGTGGGACGATGGGCCTTTGGCAGRATRCATGCATGGATATCCARCCTTACACCCTACTATCRCGAACTGGACGGGTCCTAATCGGTTTGGCTTGTTAATCAGGAACAGTGTGGTTGAAGAAGCGCATCTTGGGACGTTGCYGATGTCCACAATAAGACGGACTCTGCTTATCTCATGSGCGGAGCATGCAAGAAAGACATCTGGAATGACAAACTCATCCGGGGGACCATGAAGCTCTGTCACACCTCCTGGAGACAATTTGGCACACTCTTCTCCCTCGTCTGCATCTGATCAAGCTGCAGTACTGACAGATTCTGCTGSMMCYSATAWWTATSRGKKSCAGCAGAATCTGTCAGTACTGCAGCTTGATCAGATGCAGACGAGGGAGAAGAGTGTGCCAAATTGTCTCCAGGAGGTGTGACAGAGCTTCATGGTCCCCCGGATGAGTTTGTCATTCCAGATGTCTTTCTTGCATGCTCCGCSCATGAGATAAGCAGAGTCCGTCTTATTGTGGACATCRGCAACGTCCCAAGATGCGCTTCTTCAACCACACTGTTCCTGATTAACAAGCCAAACCGATTAGGACCCGTCCAGTTCGYGATAGTAGGGTGTAAGGYTGGATATCCATGCATGYATYCTGCCAAAGGCCCATCGTCCCACAGAGCCCATGCATGGTCTGTGAACACTATGGCAATGAAGTTGCCTGCACGATGTTGGATACACACATGGATATCCAAATTAACGTCAGGTGTATGATTCCGTGGGGCAATCAGACTCGCTTTCTTCTTCACTTCGAATACATGCAAAGATATGTCAATTCACACTGGCACTGTGCGCCCACACAAAGCTCAAAGATAATCAAGCCGAGAACACAGAACAGTTACAAACTCGCTTCCATCTGGCTATGGCGCCTGAGCGCTCACACACATCCTTTGCCCGTCCGTGTCCACACACTGTTCACACGTACTCGTCTCTGGATCACCCTGAATATACCACGCACATACACTCTGCAACACACACACACACACACACACACACACACACACACTGCACTCTGCCTCTAAGCTACAGCGGCTATGGCCGCCTAACTTCTACTGGCTATGGATACTCTATCTTCCTTCAGCCCACTTCGACCTCGGGCATCTGCAGACCACCTCGCACAAGACGCTAGGGCAGCGCTTCTGCATGGCTCACGCAGGACACTAGCGGTTAATGGAAGGCCAAAAATTCGGGGGTTTTCGCCGCGTCGCTACAAGCAATAGATATACCCTAAAGCACATACATATCAGGCAAAAAGAAAAACCAAGAAAAAAGTTAAAATTCAGGGAAATGTGGCAGTTTCGGTGAAAAATTCGCCAAAATTCGCCAAATTTTGGCCCTTCCATTAACCGCTTCTCCCGCCTCGGGCACAGCCACGACATATAGACAACCAGACATACATAGACACCCGCGTGGACGACCAGCAGCCATGATAATGATCGACCATGCACGAGATCGGGGAGAAGTGGGGAGGACAGGGCATCGACGGACAAGGTGGAAGAGGGACGAGGCACGGGGAGTAGGGAGGAGGAGTAGGAAGGAGTAGGGAGGGCAGAAGAGGAGCAGGGAGAACGACTAGCCAGGACTCTCTCTCCCCGTGCGCGCGCGTGCGGCGATATTTGCATCTGACAGCTTGGCATTTGCATCTGACAGCTCCTTAGTCCATAGTCACACCGGGATTTCTTTTCAATGTATCTGTCCGTCGCAGTGTTTCTTCCTATGTTCTTGCAGAAGATTCCTTCTCATTTTGCACATTGGCAGGTTGCTCAGTTGATGCACACTTAAAACTGTTGAATTTCAGGCGTGAGTTCCTTAGTACACACAC